CAGTTTTTCGTTTGCCGCCTCCAACCTTCATGCTGTCATTCGCAAGAAGTTGATGTCTCCACAGAAGCACAAAAACTCTATATTCAGAAAACTACCATCAGCATGATGACCATGAGGTGACTGGCATTTTGGTCGCTTCTGTCCATTCACGAAGCACGTATGTCAGAAATGCCACAAACGAGGGCATAAGGAAGATCACTGCCTTGCGAGTCAGCCCTCCAGATCAAGGGCAGGCGACCGGAAGAGAAGACGTTGTAAACGCCCTTTATCTTTTTCCGGACTCAAGTCTCACTCAATCCTAGCCACGTTTCAGACTGCATTTGAAGCATGGAGGAGGTATCTTACGGTTACTATCAAGGAAAAACTTGTACGCTTCAGCTTAGCACAGTCTCAGACAACAGTCTCATCTCTAAGCGCACTTGGCAGATGATTGGCCTGCCTGCGATGACTACATTAGACAAAAACTATGAACGTGTGTGGCGGATTTCTCTGGCTCATGAGTGAGTTCGTGTGTGACGTTTCCTTTGCTGCACTCAATTCAAGGGAACATGCTACCTTGCCAACCGTCCGAGGCTGGACTTCATTGGCCTTGACTGGATCGGAAACTCGGAAACTTACCCGCATTTTCAATAGTGTGCAGTCAACTAGGCCGAGTCCCGCCAAATCGAATCAGCTGGCGACAAATCTAAGTTCGACCCTACAGGCACAGTTTGCTCCAGCTTTTCAAGGCGGTCTTGGCTGCTGCAACAAGATGAAGGTCATGCTCCGACTTCAACCAAATTCAAAACCTGTCTTCACACCCAAAAGTCCAGTTCCCTAAGCTGTAGTTTACCAAGAACCTGATCGTCTGCAACGAGATGGTGTTCTTTAGCCAGTAAGTTACTCGGCATGGGCCGGACCAATCGTGGCTCTCAAGAAAGTCACGGGTAAGGTCAGAATCTGTGCTGATTTTACGCCGGCCTCAATGCCGCTCTGGACACACATGAGTATCCTTTGCCCGTTTCGGAAGATCTTTTTGCTAAACTGTATGGCGGAACTTGTTCCGCTAAGCTTGATCTATCCGATGCATTCATCCAAATTGACGTAGAAAATGGCTCCTGGGAGCTTCTTATATTAACGCCCATCGTAGTCTGTTCCAAATTTACCCGTCTGCCATTCGGGGCAAAGACTTTTCCCACGATCTCTCAGCAAACCATGGACACCATGCTGACGGGCAACGAAGAAGCCGCTACTTATCTGGATGATAGCATCGCCACTGGTTCAAATCCAGATGAACTGTTGCAACACCTGGAGAAGGTACTCAGCCGGATTCAAAACTATAGTTTCCGTCTACGTCTAGAGAAGTGCAATTTTTTCGTGACTTAAGTGCAATATCTCGGGTTCATAATCTAAGAAGACTGTCGTCGCCCAGATCCAGACAACATCAACGTCACAAAACAGATGCCAGCACCACAATGTTGTAACGGATGCCCAGGCCGAGATATCACCGCTAATAACGTCTTGTGTGAGTCCCCAAAGGAAAAACACGACAAAAATTGTGCAACAGCAGAAGTCTTCGAGATAACCCCGTACAGCATACTTTAAAGCAAGCGAAAGCGTATGCACAAGGTTGGACCAGTTACATTGTGGGCTCAAGAAGGTGGACTTCATAGGCTTTATGACTCACGCAGCTGCCGCGTTGGCAACCGGCGTCCGGCCGCAGCTGCACGGCGTCATCACGTGCATTATGTGAAAGCGAACCGCCCGTTTGCTGTGGGAAAGCTTCGTCAGGACTGTGTGCGCACGCCGTTTAGTTGGGCCCTGACACAAATGTCATAAATTCCTTGCGCCTTTTCTTGGGTCTCATGAGTAACTACGACTCGTTCCTTCCGGAAATGCAGCACCTTCTTCATCTGATGAATGAACTGTTCATGAGAGATGTCAAGTAATCCTGGTAGCGAGAGCGTCAACAAGTGTTTGAAGGAGGGAAAAAAGTTGAGCTCTGACTTGCTGCTCACACACTTTAACCCAATCTGAAAATTTTCGCTGCTGCGGACGCCCCCAACTATAGAATTGCCCCCGTGATTTCACATATGTTTCCCTGCAACACAGAGAAGGCTTTCTGTAATATAGCAAGATCAGTAACGTCTGCTGAACGCAACTATGGACAGGTTGTGAGTTAGTTTCATAAGATATCCTATGGGCGTCATTTCACCCTTCTCACGGACCACAAGCATCTTATTGCCATTTTCGGATCGAAAAAAGCATTCATGTGTACTCGGCAAATCGTCTTCAGCGCTGGGCAACCATCCTGCTAGGCCACAACTCCGATATACGGTACCAGTCAGGCAGACACACTCTCGCGCTTTATCAACTCACGGACTAAGGAACTTGAGAAAACGGTCATATTGTCCGCCTAAATTGAGTCCGAGGATTCCATTCGTGCACTCCGGAAG